CACAGAATATGAATGACTTATTATTTATTTAAGCTCATATATCATATGTCCTACACAAACTGAATCTTATACATGATGATATTTTATTATATCGTCAAATAAGCATTCTCCATATCCAATTCATCCTACACATTTATTCTCAATTGCTAAAGCATTTTAAAAGATTAAATCCATTCGTTTGTGTAAACATTTAAATAGCAAGCATCGTTATGATTGAGTGTATTTAAATTTATTTAAACCCAAACCTAGTCCCTATTTAATGTTCAAGAATCATAGGCATGTTTCTACGTTCCATCATTCCACATATATGAAAAATACATAATTCAAACATATAAAAATTCACACCAGAAATCAAATCAAAATCATGCATTTTTTAATTTATAACACAAGAACAGATATGACCCAATTTCACAAAAACCTATACTTTAATCCAATTAAACATGCATTATTTAATTTTATGTGTTTAGTAAATCCTGGAATTTTCTAGGCATGTACAGAAACACGAATCAAAGGGAAAGAGATAGAAGAAGAACTTGCCTTAAACTTTCGGATTGAAAGTTAAACTTCTTCTTCCTTGATCTTCTCTCTAAAGGGTTTTCTCCTCCTTCCTCCCTCTTTCTCCTTCTCTCTCTAACTCTCTCTCTAGAATATATTACGTGATATATTTTCACTCCTTTTTCAACCTATAGTTGTGTATTTATAGGCTAAATAATAACCCTATTCCTTTTCCCAATCCAAGTCAACTTAATAAAAAAAAATAAAAATGAAAATATTAAAAAGGTAACTTAAAATATGTTACGTATATAATCTATGCATATCCTTATTAATTAAATAAAATATATACATTAGATTATTTAGTAATACTAAAGTTACCATAATATTAAAAGGTAACTTAAAACAAGTTAAGTATATAATCTATCTGTATTCTCATTAAATAAATAAAATATATACATCAGATTATTTATTTATACTAAAGTTACCATAATATTAAAAAGGTAACTTAAAACATGTTACGTATAAAATATATGTATATCCTTATTATATAAATATATAAAATATATACATCAGATTATTTATTAATACTAAAGTTACTATAATATTAATAAATTACTTTCCTTTTTATATATATGTATATACATATATATCTATATATATACATATACAACTATCCATGGATAATTATCCATACCCATCCAACCTCCTATCCAAGCAGTCCATGGGATCCAATTGGTTGGCCAATTACCACTAACCATAACCATAAAAGAAAAATAAAATAAAATAATAAAAGAAATGAAAACATTTAATTTACAATTAATTAACATTAATCAAATACATCATTTAAGCACACAATCTAATTAAACAAATAATACAAATAACACCTAGACAAAATACAAATAACACATAGATAAGTAACCAATTAATCAAGTAACACTTAATTCAATTAAACACATAAACAATTAGTCAAATAATCAATTAAACAATTAAAAAAAATATAATAAAAATAAATAAATAAATACCGAGACTATCCTTTTAAAATTAGGGGTATTACATCCACCCATTCCCAACAACTCTCTTCTTTCAGAAAAGATACCTATATTATTAGGACAAAAGAAGAAACGTTTTAAAAGCGTTGATAAACTTGTAAAACATATATTCTGAAATTGAAAACTAAACTTCAAAGTCTTGAATTCCCATTAATAAATTGTTCGAGCATCACATCAGAACAATATTATATATATGTGTGTGTGTGTGTGTGTGTGTGTGTAGAAACAAAAACAAAAAATCGATATGTAAAATATAAATAAATAAACGTAACCTATAGCTAAAAATGCCAATTAAAATTTTAGAAAAAGTAAGAGTGTGTTACTTGATGACTGAGGAGGCATATTTCTTGAACCTTGTTCTTGCTAAATGTTGAGGCCCAATGCTAACCCTAAAAATAAGAAAACACACAAGTTGTGAGGAAGAGGTTTTACGACCTCAATCATAACAATTAAAACACCACCATCTAAGCATTATCTGTATCATGCATCAACCCAACTGAACTATGCTTTCAGTCAAAATGTTGGACACCTATCCGTAGAGGGGTGTGATTACGGATAAGTGTAATTAGCACATATTATACTCAACTCTTATGTTAAGTTAATCCAATAACAAAGTATAATGCATTAATTTAGGAATAATCTTCAAAATTAACAAATCAATATCACGATATTCTGCGTTCTAATAACGAAAGAAATTCAAAAACCAAAATTTGAAAATAAAAATATGCAAAAAGATTGAATATATCCTTCGTGAATTGCACAGATTGTATTTCTATGTAAAACAAAACATTCAGGATTTCTCAATGGGGTGGGCTAAATCAAAATATATCAACCAAAATCAAATGTTATTTAATTCAATTTTAGTTAACTAACAATGTTTCTTTAGACAATTGACTGATTACGGCATATAGAAAATCCTATTTGGGTAATTACTAAAAAAAAATGTTACCAATTTATTTCTGAACAATTCACCATTCAGTACCCTATCTCTTCTTTTGACCAGTTTACTAATCCTATATTCCTATATGAGAATCTACTAGTGGAAGCAGAGTGTTAGGTAGTTCATGGCAAGCCCCTTCCAACACTATGGAATTCACTCAAAAGCATGCTTTTTGTAAGTATTTTAATTTTCAAGAAAACTTTAAAGGTTTACCCTATATTAGGTACTTTTTCTTGACAAAGTTCTTGTTATGATTTTTTTTTTTTTTTTTTGTAGTTCTGAAAAGATTTCTAGCTTGGCATGTTGATAAAAATTATTTCAAATTCAATCTCTACAGATTTCTAATCCATTTCAGATTCTTTTCTTTTCTTTTTTTTTTTTCATGCCCAGATTCAAATTTTCTTCTAGACATAATTGACAACAACCAAAAAAAAAAAAAAAAAAAAAGAAACAGAAGTTATAGAAATAAAAAAATATATTTGTTTTTCTGAAAAAAAAATTGTATATTATGGTGATTACCTCAAAATGCAACAAATTTTGTTACTTTATATTGTAATATATATATATATATATAGCTTGGCATGTTGATAAAAATTGTTTCAGATTCAATCTCTGCAGATTTCTAATCCAATTCAGATTCTTTTTTTGTTCTTTTTTAATGCCCAGATTCAAATTTTCTTGTCGAGATAATTGACAAAAAAAAAATAATAAATAAATAAATAATAAAACAGAAATAAATATATATATATATTTGTTTTGCTGAAATAAAATGTATATTACGGTGATTGCCTCAAAATGCAACAAATTTTGTTAGTTTATATTGTATATATATTTAAAAAAAGATTATAAAAAATTTCGCCAAATAGGATTTAGTTTGCAAAACAAGAGTTACAGACCTAGATTAGCTGATTTAGGAAAAAAAAAAAAAAAAATACCATACATACAAGTTAGCAGTTGCAGAGAGAGCGAAGGGGGCAAGCTTGAGAGTTGAGAGACAGCGCGCCAGCTACTGAAGTTTGCGAACGGCGAACCCGAATTGGAACAGCGGGCGATGGAAACTGAAAGATATGGGTTTTGATTTTTTGAACAATCTGAAATGATATGCTGATATGGGATTTGAACTTTTGATTCTTGCAGACAGATAGATTGATTGAAATATATGGGTTTTGAACTTTTGTTATTTTCTTAAAATGTCATTTAATTAGCAATAAATTATAATAAAGCGTTAAAAATAATATTAAAATGATTGAATTGAGAATATTAAAATGATTGAATTGTTGTGCTCAAGACTACCTCATCCTCACCTATCAAACCACTTTTCATCCATGGGCCTACAAATTTTGAGACTTTAGGCCATTGTCTTTGTCGCCTTGGGTCTGGAACGGCCTGGGTATATTTTGGCTTCGAGTCTTTTATTTTAGGCGGGCTTATTCTATTAATTTCTTATTTTATTTATTTATTATTATTTTTTTTTTGGCTGAACTAAAATTAGTATAATAAAAAAAATACTCCACATGCTCTCTTCAGATTTTTAAAAATAAAATTTAATGCTGGAGAGATAATGATGAATCACTTTTGAAAGAGACATAAAAGTTGTTGATATTTGCATACTAAAGTGACGAGATAAATGAGAGGAAAAAAAGCTGATGTAGAAGAGGAAAAAATGTGAAAATTAGTAAACTCATGCTACTCAAAAAAAAACCAAACTTATTAAAAATCAAAATGTTAACAGTATCGGATTGTATCTGAAATGCACAGAATCAATTACATTCGTGAATTTTTTTAATCTTGTACACATGATTCGAAATGCAGTAATATAAACTTTTGAATAATATAATCAAAATTTTCAGGATATAATAGCGTTGTCAGAAATTTTAGAGATAAATTTTTTAGGTCTTTTTTTCGAATCGCACTCCTAACTTAAATAATGTATGTGTTGTAAAGTCAATACACGTGCTATAAGGGAATAATATAATCGAATTAAAAATGAAATTTTAGTAAATTGTAAATGTAATTTATGGTCTATTTATAATAATTTTTAAACGTATTTTCAAATATATTTTTTATTAAATTAATCAACAATAATAAATAAGGCACCGATTTGAAAGGCAAAAGAAATATATATATATTTAGCATTCCTCATCTATTATGAATTAATCAATTTATTTTAAGCAATCTCCCCAAATATTGATTCAACATGCAAGTTTGCAATATTACTGTAGATTGGCCAAAAGCAATTAAAAAAAAAATATACACGTAGAGAGGTTTTTTCAATTTACCCCATCACTATCAGCTTTATATACCATCGACCACTTGAAATTGGCCAAAAGCAATAAAAATTTAAAATTCATTAAAAAAAACTGAGCTGTCAAGTCAAGTGTCTCTACGATAAAGTTTCAACGAGCTTTACCATTACCATCAGCTTTATATAAAGCTGTCAGAGGCAGTGACGCATCTCAACTCTTGACATTAGAGTGTCTCAACCACAGAATGCATATTTGCTGATGTTTTTTTTGGTACCATGACCAAGATCATATGGACTCCCGTGATCTAAGATCTGAACGGCATAGAAGATTCTAGATTATTGTCGGCTTTTGAAAATGTCAAAATATTGAAGCTGGATTCTTGGTGGCTGACTTCACTTGGGCCTAATTGGATGGGCCAATTTTATTATGTAGTAATAAATTTTTTTTGACCTGCGCTAAAGTTAGTATAGTAAATTTTTTTTTTTTTTTTTTTTTTTTTTTTTTTTAAAATTTTTGGAGTCGGCTCAAGCTCAGCCTTACATCTGCCCTGTGCAATAGAAAATCATGCAGATTTCATTAAATTGGAAGACAGATGCACAGGGGTTGTTAGCCATCGCATGCAGATCCTCCAGACAATCGTCGTGTTCTTGCCTATACTATTGCGATATGTAGCATACACCTCTCTCCCTTTTTTTTTTGTACTCTTTTTCTTTTATCAGTCTTTGCATCTTTATCTCTCCCACAACACACAAAATCAAAATTAGTCTGATGAAAAAGAAAGGTCAAAAAAAAGAAAGGTTTTGTTTGCTTGTGTTATGGTTTCTTTAAAATTATCAACTTTTAAAGATACGGAATTTTAATACAAGAAGAAAATGTGGATTCTACTCAATATTAAATAGAGAAGTAATCAATCAAACTCAATACATTCTTTGTTGCTGATTTATTAGATAGGAAACATTCTGAATAAAAATTTGCCCAGGACTAAACAAACCATGCATGATATGATATGATGGAGGAGGGCTCAACAAACACAGTAACTGCCGACTTCCTGATCGGATTCTTTAGGATGGGGCTGCTTGATACCACTTGAACATGAAGAAGAGGAAGAGGAAGCGGAAGGTTGAGGAAGCTCTGAGTTGTCTTCTTCGGATGTTAAATCCATAACACAAGGCCCACTCACCCACATTTCCTCACTATCACGATCACTGTCACTATCACTGTTTTTTCTCACGTATGACACAAACCACCCAAAATCATCTTTTGCTCTGGAATATTTCTACACACAAAAATTTCAGATTACAATTCATAGAAATTCTTCTTCAAATGAGTGTTGTTGGAGTGTTTGATTGTATACCTTGGTAGAATTGGGGATGCTGTCATCAGAGTGTACAAGGTGATACTCGTGCATGATCCAAGGAGTTGGTAAGTCTGTCTCTCTGTAGAAAACCAGCAATCTCTTCATTGCACGCACTTGTTTGCCTTTATGAACTACTTCAATATCTTCTTCTGTGCCGATGGCCTCCCAATAACCACCACATTCGCCACCACTGTTGCTGATTATGTTGAGTTTGTTAGCCTCAGAAGATCTGACAAAGAAATATCTTTTGTCCCTCCGATCACCTGTGAAAAGGGATTTTAATCATGGGATCTAAAACAAGACAGTCTGCAAAACATAATTCGTTTCAAACGAATTCTTTGTTTCACAGAAATCTCCACTGACTCGCTAGAATTCTTTGTTTTAAAAAGAAATTGATTTGCTAGAATTCTTTGTTTCAAAGAGAAATCTCCAGTAATTTGCTACAACTCTTTGTTTCAAAGAGTTCCAATTGTACTAACCCCATTCTCAGATTCCCATCCTAGGGAGAGAGATTCATATTTTAGGGAGACAATATCGGAAATCGTTTAAACTAGGAGTGCGTATTTGTGGGAAACTAAATCTGGCCCTTGGAATGTTACAGAATTGAATGAATTGAATTTATCTCATTGGACTTGCTTAGGGTCAAATTATCCGTCTCCCTTGCACGAAATGACTGTTTTACCCCAAGTATGACCTCACGGGCCCGGATTCATCTTCATTGTTCATTAATGATTCGGATACTTCTAGTTCAGGTCATTACATGCAACAAGATCGAGATGCAAGATGTTGGTGATTTCTTGAAGGAGAAGATTGTATATTTTGATGATGATGAAAGAGAAAGCAAGATTCAAGGATTTCTTTCAATAATGCAAACTCTGATTTTGCGGGGAACGAGAAAATGCTGAAAAAAAAAGTTGTGATTTTTTACTTTTAGGGTTGTGCAAAAATTAAATGCAATATTGGGCCATATTGCAGATTAACTATAATACTAATAGACTCATAAACTAGGAAAATTATTATTGTGAAGAAATACGAGAAAAATTAGAGGAAGACGAGAGGAAGACGAGAGAAAGACGAAGAGCTATTTTTTATCTAGATTTTGGTTATGATTCGAAAAGGGAAATCTCTGGTTCAAAAGGGAAAATCAAGTAGAAAATAGTTTTATATTATTTAATATAGGTATAAGTAAAAAATATAAAGATACAATATTACGTGGCATTGAGGTGGCATCATTAATTAACGTGGCATTAGGCAATTTTGCCATATCACCGCCAAAGAATGTCACATGTGATGTGTAAAAAAAAAAAATTTTTAAATCTCTAGCAATAAGTTAAGATACACTGTCATGTCACCAATATGTAAAATTATTATGTATTTTATATAGTCACATCAACATATTTCTTTTTTTCTCTATTTTTCTCATTCTATTAAGAGCATCTCCAACCGTGGTGTATACATTTTTGTGTAAATATGATGTGTCACCGTAGATTTGCACAAAAATTTTGTATTACCTATTTTTAGCTCCAACGGTTGTTTTATACTTTTTTATAAAAAAATATATCCTAATAATAACCAACTACCTTACATAACTTTTACAAACCTACTTGATTCATTGTACTTTTTCGTATTTAAGCCTCACATCCCAATCCTACTCAATTAAGAAAAAAATAATAATTTTCTCCTATATTTCACTTCCTCATCCCGTCAATAGCAAACATTTCCAGCAGCCACTAGAATTCTAACTTAATAACAAATAAAAAAATAAAATTCAAGTATGTAGAGACTACTTGATTAAAATATATCTATAATATTTGGTTAGTACATATTTATCTCATTATAATAGAATATAAAAGGATAAAAAATCTAAAAAAAAATTCAAGAAATGGCGATGATTGCAGAAGATAAGATCAAACGAAAGTGATGAATCAAAGTATGTTTATTAAAAAAATAAATAAATAAAAAATGGTCGAGCAGTTCTTACCTTACCACCAGTTGCATATTTTTCTCTATCGGGCTCTAGAAAAGTGGAAACAAAGAAGCATAAAGGAATGAGAGGAAAAAAAAAAAAAAAAAAAAACCGCAAGTGGGAAAGGGGTAGGGAGCTGCAAAAATGTATAATTTTTCTAAAATTGAATCAATTGATTGGTTGAGAGCTTAAAATGCCAAAAAAAGTTCAACGGAACTGTAGAGAAGCACTGGAACTTTTTGAATTTTATGCCATCAATTTAGTCATTGAATAAGATTTGATGTATTTATTGAAATTGAACTACTGAACTGTAGAGAAGCACTGGAACTTTTTGAATTTTATGCCATCAATTTAGTCATTGAATAAGATTTGATGTATTTATTGAAATTGAACTACTCAATTTCCGCCGATGATTTTTCTATAAAATAAAACTTCTCTCTTTCTTACCGTTCTTAATTTATGATGCAGGAGATGAAATGACTCAAATCTTCTGGACATAAATAAAAGACGGTAATAATATGCTTTCTGGATCATTTTTTGTTACTCATGATTTATCACATCTAATTTTCCCCTTTCTTTGCCAAAACGATTAATCCCAGGTACTTGATGTTTCTTGATGCTACTTTTTAAGCCAAGAGCATTTTTCTAACTCTATTGTTGTCATGTCAAGATGGACAAAGCCTATATGCATTGGAAGGAAGGCATGCTTTTGGCGATCAATATAGAGCAACTGATAACAGTAACTAAAAAAGTCACCATGATTGGAACCTTATAACGGAGGGAGGGTACTCATTTGCTCCTTTGGACTCTTAAACTCTTACCTACCATTTTAGGAATTTTTTAATATGTTATTATCATAAATAAACACAAAGAACACTAACAGAGCAAATGGTTTGCACTGAAATATTTTGCAAGCAACTTCTACTAGGGAGGATTCTAGTCGGTATGTGTTTGATCGAGAGAGCATGATCCTGCACAGATGAAACAAAAAATGACAAACATCTACAATCTATATTATATCTCTATATAGATTTAAACACAGATTGCATTCTCATCTTTTCAATTTTGATTTTCCTTCAAAAAAAAAAAAATAGACAATTAAGGCAATTCAAACTGTTTTGTATCTACCGATTTAAAAACATAATATTGTTTTTCCTTACCTCTTCCAATACACATATTCGTGCACGTTTTGTTGTGAACACACGAAACACACCTATAATCCATATCGGCAAGAATAAACACAAAAAACACTATGAACATAATAAGTTTATATAAACACACACTTACGAACACACATAAAATATCACGTGACCATATTTGACTTTCAAGTGATATAATAAAGTGAGACTAAGAAATCTACATTAAAAAAGAACTATGAATAGACATTTCCTCGTGAATAAACACATAAAGCATAGATTCACCCACTAATGCACATTGCACAATGTAACATCATATCAGAACTTCCATTTTCCTCTGAATGTGCTCATGAAATCACTAATTAAGAATATCTCAGTGTGAAACATTAGACAATAAAAAAGATTATTTTTTAAACAGGAATCCAAGTAACACGTGATCTTCAAGCAAGTTCAACTCAAGTCCAATTCATGTTGGGTCATCACAAACTTGATCTTAAATTAACGAGGCATTTTAACATTACCTTGAAAGTCATTACTATTTATGTGAGCCTGAATACTTTTAATCTTGCTGATGAAAGAAGAAAATCTCAAATGTGATGGGACCTCAGAATTTGCCTACACGTCACGGGGAATCGTAATATTGTACCGCCTCATAATTTGCTTGAGACGCACAACGTTTGGCCAGAGAAGAGCATTTTGTGCTTGTAGTTGCCCTCTTTCATTGTGAAGAATAACATTGTCTCCTCCGAGAACAATATTTTCTTGTAGAAAAGCAGCATTGTCTTCTAGGAGTCCGTCTCTTTCCTCTTACAGTGTTGCAATTTGTTGATTACGTACACCTTTTCCTGCATAGTAGCCAAATTCCCTTCAATCACCTGTCTTATAATGCCTATACTCCCCCACAATGGTACTGCAACGATGATTGCGGCTTGAAGAATTAGGCAAGAAGAGAACAAATGCCTTTCCTCTTCATCATCGGTCAAACCCAACAACCTTGGCGTATGCAGTTAATATGTTCATATGGTTAGCAAGTTCGAATCTGGAGGAAAATAGTTCCTCATGAAGCACAACTCATTGCATCATGTTCGATTATGAACACAGGACACAAAAAACACTATGAACATAAGATCCAGGTGGTGATTAGATTATATACACACACTTAAAAACACACATGTAAATAATTAAACAATAGTAATCAAATGAATGCACAAAAACCTTATAAAATAAATAAACAAACAAATAATGGTAATTCTTATCTCCAATACCAAAAACTTTTAGCTTAGGTTACAACACTTCATTCAACAACAACAAAGATCCAAAGTTGGGAAAAGAAAATGATCTCTCTATATCTATCAGGACTCTTCTGTTTAGTCCAAAAATTGGAGAAAGAAAGAGTGCTCGTAACCTTGGTATTAGAACTTCCATTTTTCCTCTTTGAATGTGCACATGAAATCACTAAGAATATCTTGCGTAACATTAAACAATAAAAAGATTATTTTTTAAGCAGGAATCCAACCAATATGTGATGTTCAAGCAAGTTCAACTCAAGTACAATTCATGTTGGGTCATCACAAACTTGATCTTAAATCAACGAGGCATTTTAACCTAACCTTTAACCAACTCTTATCAATATATTATGTTAACATAACCAAAACCAGTTTAAACCTAAACAGCCAGTAAAAAATTAAATAACTGGAACAAAAAATAATAATATTAAAAATATTAGGTAGATTAGAAATAATTTTAGATACTAATCACATTGAATAGTCTTTAATTCTGCATCCTTGCCCAGGCCCAACCTTTGACCAGAGTTGGGTTCGGGAAGACCCAAAAACTACTAATTATAAATTCCCGAGCAAAACTATGGATCCTATTATGAACACATAAGCTGCCAGTTACAGGTAAGGAACTACCAATTCTACTTAAGAACAATGTTTTAAATGGCATTCATAAGCTAAATTTGAAAGTCATTACTGTTTAGAAGATTGGGATATTACAAACAGAAGATCAAATGTAACCAGTTGTGTTACCAAGATTCTCATATTCCCCTTAAAGCATCGGTATCGACACAACATGGTTATCTGAATAATTTTTATGGAGGGTACTCATTTGGTCCTTTGGACTCTTAAACTCTCACCTAGCATTTTAGGAAATATTTAACGTGCTATTATCATAAATAAACACAAAGAATAATAACAGAGCAAATGGTTTGTATTAAAATATTTTGAAAGCAACTTCTACTATAGAGGATTCTAGTCAGTACGTGTGTGTGATTTTGAGCGAGCATGATCATGCACAGATGAAACAAAAAATACCAAGCATCTACAATCTAAATTATATCTCTAGATTGCATTCTCTTCTTTTCAATTTTGATTTTTCTTAAAAAAAATAGACAACTAAGGCGTTTTAATAATATCATATCTGCACCAACCCAACACTTGAACCTGGAAAAGAGATTCAAACTGTTTTGTATCTACCGATTTAAACATAATACTGTCTTTCCTTCAAAAAT